GAATGCTAAGGACTCCAGTGGAAGTATGCCAGCAATAGATTTAGTCTAGCATGATTTTATTTCAACAAGTTTGGTCAATGAAAAACTCCAAAATGAGCTGTTCTGTTAGAAAAGCACAAGACCAGATCTGCCCAGCAGCAAAGCAGCTTACAGTCTGCTAAGCCGAGAGCAGGTTTGATCCTACTTACGTTCTGCCTCACCCCAGCCTCTCACTTCCTATGTTAGTGGTGGCAGGAGGTGACAGGGTTGGACTCTCTGAACTGAGCTCCAGGAGGGGTTTGAACCTTCTGCTTGACTTTGGCAGGATGGGGTTGGAGGAAAAGCCTGCCACTGGCAGTCCTCTGCCCAAAAGAGAGACAGGCAAAAGGAAAGTCTGAAAGGAGCTGTTCTTTCAGTCACTTGACATGCCCTCCTGTCACTAGTCAACACCTGGCAGCAGGTCTGTATGGATAAAAAGTGTGACAACCAGCCACACCTCCCCATGGTGTTTCATGTGCAAACACAACCCGTAAACAAGGAGAACAATATGGAACTGGCTGTGGGGATTAATTCAGTCCAAACCCACCGAGTGACATTTTTCCAAAAGCCAAGTTCGTTGGCCATCTTTGATAGGGAGCTCAAGCTTGGAGGCTTTCTGAACACAGTACTGTATTTTTTTTCAGCTGGATAAAGAGAGCTGCTTTGTCCTGACTGCTGCAGACTTTCAGGTCGTGGTCTCATCTGAGCTCACAAGGACAGGAAAAGCCACAATGGGAATGAGAAACCTCATGGAAAGTCCTAGGATGCTCTAGGAGTGCAAAAGTGGTACAGGAGAAGCCATTCTCCCCTATATGCCTTCAGAGAGGGCCAATGCCCTCACTTTTTGCCTTGAGAGTCTGGCTTCATTAAATCTTTTTATACCCTCAAGATTTAAAGTACTGCAGCTGAGAACGTGACAGTAAATGAAAAAAGAAACCCTATTTAGGCAGGCTGCAAAGAGGGAAGTTCTTCACTTCCACTGTTGTGGTAAGCCTTTTAAATCAGGACTTTATTTTCCTGGGCTTAGAAGAGAAGGAAAAAGAAATGGACAGTTGCAAGATGACAACAACATGCCTAGGGTGCTGCTGGTCAGAGGGGGAATACTGTGTCATTATTTTGCCTCCTTTTTTCCCTCCCTTGACAGGGATCTTAGAGAAATCCAGTTCTGGAAGTGAGCAAGGCGAAAATCCTTTCAACCATTCTCTTTTGCATGGTGTTAAAAGGCACCTTTTGGATGCGTCCTGAAACTGAGGTCTTGACTGCTTATGGCCTTTAAAGATTTCATCAGTTTATTCCTGAGAGCAGGGACATTAATTCTCAGCACAGATTGCCCCTGTTTTGAGTAGATGCACTGTGCCATAAGCCCTGTACTCCCTGCAGAATATTTCTGTTTTTTTCCCAGGCTGAGCTGCTGCTGCTCGCTGTCACAACTCGTGGCACAGCCCGCCTCACAGGCATCAGAGTTTCTGTGGCAGAGAAAGTGATTCCTATGCAAACACAGGACTAACTTAATTCCTGGTGAAAGAACGTCATTGTAATTATTCCCTAGATAAAAACGTCACCCATCTTAACTACAGCTGATGAAGTGATTAACACCCTTAACTCTTGCAGACGAACAGCCAGCGTTGTGTAGGAAGACTGGAGCAGTCCTTTGTATTCCTGAGAGGCAACATGCTCCAGACCCAAAAAGGTGAAAAAAAGTTAGAAGCTAAAATTTGTATATTAGCATATGATATGCCTTGTTTGCGATTCTTCACTGAACTGAGGACTGGTGGCTTAGCCTGTGGATGGCAGTAAAATATCTTTGATGGAATAATTGAAAGGCATTGCCGAGAAGCATTTCCATTCCGAGTAGCTTTCTCAGGGGTTTATTGCTCAAGGAAAGACAGAAACAGTTGCATTGATTTGCAGATGAGATGACAGGGAAACATTTTCAAATACTGTAAGGTATTTATACTGCTTAAGATTTAAGGATTGCTCCTAACTAATCTTTTCAAAGCTCTCATGAAAGACAATCTAGCTTGCATCCTTTTAATGTGTTTTAAGCGGACTGGTGTCCCTTCAGCTGGTTTATCTCATACAGTGCACCTCTGCATGCTGGAAATGGGCCAAGACAGAAACATCTGGTATTCCGAGGAGCAAAGAAACAGAGCAAAATTTAGACTGCCCACGAGATAATCCTCCTGGTGCTGCTCCACGAGAGCTCCAGGAGGTCAAAGAAGTCTCACTGCCAGAGCTCTTCGCTTGGTACTGAACTGCGTATAACAAAACGGATTTGTGAAAAAAGGGGGATGATGAATGGCCAAGTATGTACTGATTCTCGCTACATCCAGTTCAGCTTCTGGAGCTTAATGGTACTGCAAGTGTTTCTAATCCCACAAGATATTTGGTCGACTCAGATATAAGCAAGCAGGGCCTGCCAGTTACTATCCCAGTCACCCTCCTGGGAGATTCAGAGAATTTCAAGACTTGGTGGAAAGTAAGATTTACTAAAAAGCCTTGCTCCTCTCTCTGAAACAAATCTCTTTTCAAAATACCAGAAGTCTGTTCCTCTGATTTGTCTCCAAGGATTTGTAATTTCAAGCCATTTCCATGATCTAAAAGGGTAAGGTGAAGTATATGGGGAAACAGAAAATGAGTCCAAATAGACAAAGAACACAGGTGTATTGACAGCCATAACAAACTGTCCAAATCAAAGCAGACACCAGAATGCCATCTAAAAGATATATGTACACAAATCCATCTGAACAGCTGGTATCTGTACCTCTGGAGTTGTACCTTTCAGAAAAGGGCTTCAAATTCCCTGAAGTGTGATTGCACCACCTGGAGCGCAAGGAATCATTAGAAAATTTGGGATTTTCTGCAAAATTCTAAACTGGGAGTCAGGACTGAAGAACCAAAACATTCAAGGATGTCGAGATCTGGGACTGCAGTTTGCACCCGTATATAATCCAACCAGCCAAGCCTGAGCAGTACCAATACAGCAGAGAATACATACCCGGAAATGAAAAATCCCAGCATAATTGTCCTGGAATCCTTGGTCCCTTGGTAAAACATTTTCCAAAAACTGCTTCTGCTGTGTCAGGGAGCCCAGGGCAGCCAGCATCCAGCAGCAACCTCAAGGGAGGGAAGAATTCAGTGCATTCAGTCAGTTACTCACTGTTGTGGACCATAACTAACTCTTTAGGAGAGTGGACTGCAACATCCAAGACATCTAAGAACCAGCTTGTTAAAAGAAACCAGCGTTCTTCTGTCTCCCTTCTCTCCCCCAAAATGCTGAAACACTACCCAGTCTTCACCAGCAATGCCCCCTGGGAACGCTGATGCCACCCAGCCATCCTTTTCCACTTTTATGCTCCTCCTATCTTTTGTGGTCATGTTGAGACTTGCAGTCTAGAACATTGTTCAGGAAATCTTCAAACCTCTCAGTGGGGTGAGAGATGGGAAGACATTTCTTTCTATATGGGAGCAGAGCTGCTCCCAAAGACAAACATGGTTATGGACTAGGAGAAAAAGATGGAACCAATACAGGGTGCAGACACATGCCTGGGTAAATATCAGAGAAGACGGACAGAAATATCCATAGAAAAGAAAACATGAGAGTCACCAGATGGAGACAGGATGAAAATAAAATTCAGTGTTACACATGTTGGAGTGCCTGCTTGCCCCAGAACTGTGTTTGACCCTTGTACTTGAAGCATCTGCCTGATCTCAGTTGGACCTCCCTTTCTATGCTTGTCCTTATATACATAGAGGGCAGGTGCTGTATATAAGTAACAGGGATTAGACCTTCTGCACTTGCAAATCCTATTAAATATCTGCAATAAGGTGTGTGTGAATTTGTGTGGGTTTGGATTAACTTGCACTAATTGTTTACTGCAGCTACCATGGTCCACGTCTTCCCACCAAGCATGCAGAACATATAGCAAATCAATGACAGGTTATTGCTTTGTGCCAATCTTTTCCAAAACCGGAATGTGACCTTACCTATTTCTCCTTGCATGATATCAAATCTGCTAACTCCATCCAGGACCAAATAAGGATTTCTCTGAAGTTCCTGGAAGAAAGAAAATACAAAGAGCAGTGTGGGTACCCATCCTTTGCCAGCAGTGTGTTCCTGCTTGAAGGCCTTTGAAAACCTTTGTGTTCCCTTGAAGATCTTTGCTTGCCTACCTTTTCTACTGCTGAAAACTATTTCTCTTGAGCCCTGATGATTTGTTGCCTGCCACCAACAAAACAAGAGGAGATACTGAGGCATCTCTTCTTTAGTCTGCTCAGCTGTTCCTAGGGATGGGGACTTGTGGCTGGGTGCTCACTGAGTTTTCATTTGCGTTTCTTTAATGCTACCAACACCTTTCAGAGAGGGGTCTGAGCCTGCCTGCGAAATCATGCAGTTTCCTGGGGGACAGTAGGGCAGAGACACAGAGGTTTCCAAGCAAAGTGGAGCAGGGTCTGTACCTCAGCTCAGCACTGGGTCTGGGAATGTTTTACTCTCCAAGCCTTTTGTGTTTCCATGCAGGCTTAACACAGATCAGCCTGGGCTGCTTTTCATCACTTTTGGTGAGGAAGCTATAGAAAGAGGGCTTAATCTCTGGCTGCAAAATCCCACAGGTCTGGCTGACTTATTTTTAATTCAGGGAGAATTTTCCTTGCATTCCTTGAGAGTCTTGCTTGGGCAGTGAAGGGGAAACACTTCAGAGTTTGGCCTTGCACACAGAAATGTGAACCATTCTCCTACCTGTGTCTGCTATTGGTCTGGGATATCTGAGTGCTCAGGTAGCAATGGCCCGAGCATCCCCTGTGAGTAACCCTTGGCACACCCCAACTGGGTAAGGCTCTGTTTTGAAAGAGCAATCAGCCTTAAACAGGAAAGTCACCATGCGCCTAAGAAAATTAAGAGATAAAAGGGAGAAAAAGCATCTGAGTAAAAAAAATAATACAGCAGCTCTTCCTTAAGCAGGGCCTGGCATTTCTTCTCCCCAATTGATTTGACATGCTGCACAAAAATGAGACCAGCGCACAACGTGACTCATGACTCGCACGGTTGCGAGAGCTCAGCGTTAGCAAATGCTGTCAGTTTGCTGAAATGGCTTCACGGTGATCAAACCCCTCTAAGAAGTTTTCCTGTCAGGACAAGATGCAACACAACATTGCTGCTCCAGGCTGGTGGACAGATCATGCTCCCACAGCACCGCTGACACCAGGGAAAGCAGCCTGGGCACACATCTTCCTTGACAGATGCTTTCACGCAGCCATCCACGCCTATCCCAGGACTTCTGGGATTTGCGATAAGAGATTTACCCATAACATGGGAGCAGACCTAAGAAGTGGTGGCCACCAGCAGCAGTGGTTGGTCACCATACAGTGAAGCAGCAGCTCTCAGCCCTTCTCCCTTCCCCTCTACATCTATTCCAGCTTTATCTTCTCCCTGCCTCTGTTTCCCTGACAGCAGTTTGCCTCCCTCACCTGGATGAATTCAAAACCTCCCACAAGCAGGAAAGAGTAACTTGCATGACAAAGCTCTGAACTTGGCCTGTGCCCTTGTGTGTGTCTGACTTACCAATAGTCATCCCAGAAAACCAACAGCATAAAGGAATGGGTATTTTTGTTCCCCCATGATTTCTGAGGCTGCTGAAGTCTTAGTTGCCCCCGGCAGGGTGGCTGGGCTCTGATGGATGTGCTACAGTGCATAGCTGCCATGGGGGTAACCACCATATAGAAACATGAGCCTGAAACTAATGGGAAGGCAGCTGTGTCTCTTATGGGATCCCTGAGGAAAGGGGTGGTGCTCTGCTCTGTGCCAGGACAATTAAGCTCTTAAGTGCATCATGGATCCTGCTAGGTGTTAAGGAGACCGGCTGAAAAGTCAGCCCATTAGATGCCTCAGCAGATATCCTGTTGCCCACCAAGATGTTCAACTCCCCAGTAAGCAAACGGGGGTGAGTTGAGTCATTAAGCAGGTTCCTTGCTGAGAGAAACCAATAATTTTGTCTAAAACCAGAAAAGACGTGATCTGAAGTCAGCCCCAACCAATATGCCTTGACTGTGCATACACACAATTTTGTGGCTACCAGAGAGAACAAAAGCTGAAGTGAAACACTCCCACTGTAATCCCCACTCACAACACACTAAGCTCTGCTTCCAGTGGGGTGTACTCCCCACAGGCTTAGAGGGCAATAACTGGAAAGCAACATGGAGCGTGTGACTTTTCCCCATGGAAAAGGGGCCGCTCAGCAACTGTCCCTCTGCAGAAACCACACAGCAAATGCAAGGTGAATTCCCACTGAACTGACACCAGTGCCGCTGGCTGAAATGGCAGCAGTCCTCCTTGCTGCATGCACTGCGGTTAGAAACGGTGGGACAGGTTTTAGCAAGAAGTTTGTGCTTCTGAGTGCAGCCACCTCTCTGCGTGCTTGAGGAAAAGAGGCAGCATGGGCACACTTCAAAAGGATGCAGGGCACAGAGCACAGGCTCTTTGCACAGCATTGGGTGTGAGCCAAGGAAAGGCAGGGGACAAACAGAAGCTGAAGCAAAGGCAGGAGGGGGCCAGTGGTAGGGAACTGCAAGACCAGATCCTCAGAAGAGCTCTGGAAGAACGTGACTCCTGAAGTCAGTGGTGGAATGGCTGTTCCCTTGAAGGATGCTGTGTGGAGCCTGAACTAAGCGCACTGGGTTTCTGAAAGAGCTTACAGAGGACATAAGTATGGTGGGTGAAGTGCTTTGGAAATCTGGGCCTTCTCAACCGGAAGGAAAGGAAGTCTCCAATTAGCTCCTCTTCCTTCAAAGGCAAGAATACAGCAGTCATAAAACACCAGAAACTACCACTTATTGTTGCAAAACACAGTTATGCCCGTAGTTACCACTACACAAAACGTGCAAGCCACATTGTTTGCTAGTGCTTAAATTGCATGACAAATAGAGAAACTACAGATTTAACTATAAGTCTGTCCAGAAGCAGTGCCCTGTTTCACTGAGAAATTATGATGAGGCATTGTGGCATTTTCCTCAAGACTTTTCAGTTTTAGCTGGAGGGGGAAAGAAGAGGGAGCCTAAGGAGGCACGTGGTCTCTTCTCAGTGTATCTATGAGTCCAGCAGTGAAGGCAACCATATGGGCTGCAAGTCAAGCGCTCTGCCTGAACTCATGCCCCCAGGACAAAGCTATCATCACTTGCTTTCCCTGGCCCACTGAAGACTTCATTACATATTCAAAATAAAAGAGAAGTTCAAGTTCAAACCAGTTCATTCTCTAGAGAATGGTCTTACCACAGAAGTACTGCTTATCCAAAAGGCAAGATGGGAAATTAATTTGAGAGGTGGCAGGAGAGCACCCTGTACATGCATTTGTCTCTAAATTTCTTTTTATAATTGCTCAGCATTTTTATGGAAGAGCAAGCCCCCAGAAGAAGCTGAGGGTGAGTAGTACAGATGTAGCCATATGCAGACGTATGTAAAGAACCTAGTCAGACATTTTTGCGCAAAATTGGAAGCCCGAGGTGGGAGTTCACGGGCAGTGTAAGCCAGCCTGACTGCAGGCTGCTGCTCAGTACGGTGGTCTGGTCATGGTCACGGCCACGGCCACTTTTCACAGATTTCCCTGCTGACCCAGCATGATCCTGAATGCAGGCACAGGGCCACTGAGGGTTAAGAGGCAGGAGATGACTCTTTGTAGAGCTGCCTCCCAATCAGTTCACCGTAACCCTACAGTAAAATCCCAGCCCTGCTTCTGTTCCTGCCACAGCACCACATCTTTCCCTTTGGCTGTACTTGCGTTCCTCCCTCCCGCTCCAGCTTCACCTTCCTGACGCATCCTGCCATCGTGAGCCACAGTGCTCCCTGTTCAACACACACCAATTAAGAAAAATAAAAAGGCTGCTATTGATTGAAAGCTAAACTCTGCTCTCAGCTGGACAAACCTTAATTCAACATCACTGCTGTGCCTGTAATAGTGTTGCTGTGGATTAAGAGGCAAATGTGGTGTTGCAGTTACCTGGGCTAAGGGCATTGCCTAGCAGTGTGCTGAGGAGGGTCAGGCACACCACTGATCATACATCCCCTAACCACAGGAGACCTCCACAGAATAGCTAACACAGAAACAAGCCAGCTGCAGTAACGAGGTAGGGCAGAACAAAGGATGAGCTGCACTGGGTCGCACCGAAGGTCTGCCTGTTGCAATGACTTATCTCTGACAGCTTGGAGAGGGAGCAGGATAACTGAGCAAGCCAAAACTAATGCTCCTCCTGCATACATCCTCCCACTCTCCATCACTTGGGGGCTAAAGGATTTCCCAGGCTGGAGGCTCTATCCACAGATTTTGTTTATTAGACCTCATGGGAGTCAGGAATCTGTTTCCTTGAATCTGCCTAATGTTTTTTGGGTTTTTTTTAAACTCATATTCTGCTTTTCTTTGACATTTTGACAGGAAAAAACCAGGCTAATCTCAAGGGGTTTGCTTGCACCACCAGAACTCAATTCCCTGCTTTACGGCAGAATAGCTTAATTCCTGATTGCCTGTTTTCAACACAAGTGCCTCAGTTGCTTAAAAAAAAAAAAAAAACCTTTGTTCCAGCTCTCTCTCTCGCAATGGAGGAATGAGGGCCTCAGACACTGCACAGGTGGGGAGCCCACAAGTAAAGTCGTGCTGGTGTCCAACAGCCAGCAGAAACAGAAACCAGCTCAGGTTTTACCTGTAACTGTTTGCTTTGTGTAGCTCTGTGCTAAAAAACAATGACAACTGCAAACAAAGGAGGTAAACATAAAGGAGGTAAACAAGGGAGGTAGCCCTGTCTACCCTGAGCCTTTAAGAGACAGTTTCCTTAGAGGTCTTGAAACCTCCCACTCAGACCATTCAGTAGAAGCTAAAGTTTTGAAAGTGGCACAGTGTTATTATTAACTATTCCCCTCTGGCCACCGCAGTCATATAATCCTGCTAGCTGACTCCCCAGCCTGGGAAACAGGGAAGCGGGTGAGTCAACAGACCAACATAGGAGCGCTGCTTTCCCCTCAATCTGGGATGCGTGCATTCCCCCCCTCACCAGCCCTTTCCAAAAGAAACAGAG